ACTCACACACCAGTACTGAAATTCAAATTCCTTTTACTTGTAATTTTTTATTAATTTGTTAAGTTAGCATGCAAAGTAATATGGCATTTTCATGTGTGTCATTATGTTTTGTTCTCCTCACCCACTTGGCTCCCCTTTGCCCCGTGGTCACTCTGGCTGGTCCCGCTTTCCTCAGATAGTACCCAGTTCTGTTTGCTTTTCACATATATTCCATTACAGTCTCCCCTGCACCCCACTTAAGAATACCTCACTCTTTGGCTTCTACATTCTTTTATGACTATTAAACCATATTCTCAAGATGTCTTTACCTAAGCTGAACAACAAACAGTAAGCTCAGAGGAAGGAAATGAATTAAGACTCTGGATGAGTACTCTTTATTCTTCTCTAAGCTCAAGAAACTTATCACATCATAAGAAAGGGGGAAAGCTATGATTTTTCACTAAGAAGAGATTAAACTTGAACTTTTATTAGATTCTCTTACAACAAAATAGAATTGAAAATATTCTAGTGGGGAGCTTTCTGGGGGTAGTTTTAAAATTTTTTGTCTCTTTAATTATTCAGTTTGAGACATAAAACGGAAAAACTGTAGATTTCCACTGAACTTTGGGGTTTTATGTTCCAAAAATGTTACTCATCCTACCTCCACCCCTCACTCCCACTGCCACCCCCACAATACAAGAATCCAAGAAGTAATACAATGTACCTTTTGGGAAAAGTGACTCGTTGAAATAGTTTTGGAACCTAAAAACATTCCCTTTTCTTGCCTGACGATTTCCCACCTTAACTTCCAAGAAATGCCTTCTAATGGAGTATTGCTGCTAAGGAAAGTTGCTTCTCAGTCCTGCCCAGTCTCAAGGGGATAGTAATACTGGAAACCTTAACAATTCTGCCAGCAAACAGGACAGAGGCAGGTTACCTGCCAATGACTCTGATAAGGTTTCTGTGAAAGATATTATTCTGCAAGAACACATCCATCTGTCCTGCCTTGTGTCATGAGAGATAAATTGAGTGTTAGAGAGGTTATAAAAGAGAGTGTATAGTACATGAACAGAGGGTATGCAGTCCATTCAAAAAGAGTGAGATAAATGAAAAATAGACTATTTATCACTTCTGTCTTTCCCCCAAGTAATATCCTAAAAGAATTTCAGTCACAATAGAACTTATCCATTTGTCTCAAAATCCTCAGGTGCTTATTTCCCCTTCCCCTGACTACCATACAGAGAGCACTGGAAGAAAACATGCTTGCTGTATGTGTTGTGCTTCTCTACTGCTACAAACTTGCATAAGAAGCTTTATTCTCCCCTACTCATTCCATCAAAGCCAAGAAGTCTACGTCTCTCCTGGATCAACAAAGGCCAGTTCCCTTTGGCTGGCCGGTCTGGCTGGGTTTTGTTTAGACACTCAGGGATGCTCAATCATGCTATAGTAGCTCCTTTTGACGCATTCTTCTGATGACCTATGAGATGAGCCTCTGCTAAATGCTTCCAGGGAGGAACTCCAAGATGCTTATCTCTACTGACCCCTTGGGAAATCTATCCACACCCTAGAGCCAAAGTTCCATCTGTCTGGCCTTATCTGACATCGCTACCTTTTTGTTTTAGCCAAGAATGTAATAATAGCAAACTGTTTCATGGTTTTGAACAGACTCAACAAGGAAGAGTCCTAAAACTCATGGCAGAGAGCTAAAGATAAATTGAAGGTGGACGACTTCAGTCACTATCATTATGACAAACACAGAATGAATTTGAAAGTTGAAATTCAGGAATGAGGATGTCAAGTAGGAAAAAATGCCAACTAGTAACTTAAGAAAAAAACTTTGCATTAATTATTTGGATGTCAGACAACCCAATAAATAGCTTTGTATTTTGGAAATAAATTTTTGCCTCAAATATTTCTGCACAGTTCCAAAATGCTTGCTCTATATATCAGACCTCACATATGGTTCAAAAAAAGGTACAAAGATAGAATTGCATAGATTTACTTTACAATAGCAAAGACTATGAAGACTAAGGCCCAGGGTTTTTCTATTCTAAGTTCAAGATGAGACAGCAAGCTTTCAAAAGAACAATGTAAAGTTATCTTGCATAAACAAAGGTATAATGTTGAAAATTAGGGAGCTAGTATTTAGTATTTATATTCTACTCTGAGCTACTAAAATCACAGTTGTGATGGGTGTGGTGGCATCTCCTGTAATCCTAGCACTTGAGAAATAAAGGAAGGAGGATCAAAAGTTCAAGGTCAGCTTTGGCTGCATAGTGCATTCAAGGCCAATCTAATAATATATATAAACCCCTTGTCTCAAAAGAAAAATTGAGGTAGGAAAGCAGGAAATGAAGGAGAAAGAAAGAAAGGAAGGAAGGAAGGAAGGAAGGAAGGAAGGAAGGAAGGAAGGAAGGAAGGAAAGAAAGAAAGAAAGAAAGAAAGAAAGAAAGAAAGAGAAAGAAAGAAAGAAAGAAAAAGAGAGGGAGATAAATGACACTTGACATAATTGATTACTGCTAGATACTATACTTCATAAATAGCAAAAAAAATTCAAGGTGGAATCCCAGACTAAAAAAGCCAGGTAAGCGGAGTTGCAGACAAGTCTACCCAAAGAAACTGTAGTCATGCATGGCCATACCACCCTGAACACCCATGATCTCTGATCTTTGAATCTAACCAGGGTTGGGCCTGGTTAATACTTGGATGGGAAAAACTGTAGTTGTGGCCAGAAACAGCATGGCAATTGAGTTCTGCATATATACACATATATATATATATATGTATGTATTTATGTATATATGTATGTATGTATATATTCCCCCCAGTGGTTTGACTGCATGTATGTAAGTGCACCTGTGTCATGCAATGCCTATAAAGGTCAGAAGAGGGCATCAGAGCCCTTGGACTGGAGTGATGGATGGTTGTTAGGAAACTAAATTCAGGTCCTCAGCAAGAGCAGCCAATGCTCTTAAGCACTGTGCCATCTCTCCCGAAACAGAAATCTATTTTTAAAAGCAACCCAGAATGACAACTGGCTAAAAAGTTCATTACTCTCAAGTGGCTAAGAAATCTTAAGGCCAGAGGACACCTTGGAAAGCACATAGTCAATTCCTTTTCAGTTCTACCTTTGAAACTATTTCCTGCAGTGTTGGGTAAACTTGTCCATAACATGCTAGTGTCAAATTGACAACCTAAGTGCACAGTTTCATACAAGACTGATGTTATTTACTTACAGGATGGCTAGGTAGCCTTCCTCGTCAAGGCAGAGAACTTTTACAATAGTTTAATAGACTTCATCTAAACACTAGTTTTGAACACCACCTATAGGTCAAACTTCAGGTATTTCTGTACTCTGCCTCTTTGTGATACCTGTCAAATGACTGGACTCCTTTTCCCCTCCTTTTATTCTTCTTTAGTCACAACTCTTTCCCCATGTTTGTGACCTGGCTGCTCTCTCAAACTGTTCAGGTACCTCTTCTTCAGTTGTCAATCAACCAGCTACCTTACTCCTTTTGCAGCATGGCTGGTCAACTATTCAATTGTCCAAGAGTCTAAGAGCTCCTATAAGTTATTAGGTGGAACTAATACTCTCTAGGGAATCTTACCACCTCATGAACAAGAATGTAAATGCTCAGCCAATTCCTCCTATTCATATTATAAATTTGGCATACTGGTTAATGTTGTCATATGTTCTCAAAATCTATCCTATATTGTACTCAGCCACATAATATATTAATCATTAAGATGTCATTCTTGGAGGCTGGAGAAAAGGCTCCATGGTTAAAAGTATTTTCTATACAATCGAGAGGACTAGGGTTTGGATCCCAACACCCACATAACAATCTGGGTGTCCTGCATGTACCGGTACCAACAACTCTGAGGTGGGTAGAGCCAGGAAGATTGTGGAGGTTTGCTGATTTCCACCTTAGCCAAATAACTGTAAGCTCCAGGTTCAGGGAGAGACCCTGTCTCAAAAGAATAGGTGGAGAGTAATAAAGAAGGACACTTGATGCCTTCCTCTGGCCTCATTACACATGCACAGGAGCATATATATATATATA